CAGACACTCTGACTGTCCTCTATCAAAGTCTCTTATTTCAGCCTATGTTCTCATCTTAAAACTGTTCCTTTTACATGTTTTGTTATTGAATATGAAGAGAAGTTAAAGAAAGCCTGGTGACCTCATGGAAGGTCTGTAAAGCGGTTTGAAGGAGCAGCGAGTTTGTTAAAAAGGCTTTAAGGTAATCCTGCAACAGCTGCAGGTGGCCGCCGGCCGACTTATCCCACTTAAGAGCTGATCGACCATCAATAAGGACATTAAGCAGAAGAAGAGCAGCAGAGAGGTTATTTAATACGACAGGTGAGAGACGGATGTCCAACTTTCAGTAAACCAGAACTGTGATCCCTGGGGAACAATGGTGGCACAAGGGTTAGGCATGCAACCCATGTACACAGGTCTAAGTCCTGGTTGCAGATGTCTCCTGTTTAAGTCCTGAACTTCTCTTTAACCCCTTTTCTGTTTGCTTTTCAGATTAAAACACTAGTTCCTAGAAAGGAAACAACTCTAATCCCAGTAACATCGGATCAGTTTTCTGCAAACACCAAAGGATCAGAGCAGCTCCATGTTGATGAGGAGCTTCAAGGACATTTCAGAAGTCTTGTAGTTTCCTCTATCTGAGTCTAGTTCCAGGCTGAACCATCTCCTTGGTGGTTTATGCTTTCACAGCCAGCTGGAATCATTAATGCTCAGCCTGGAAGCCTAGCGAGGCATTGGGGTAGGCTGCATCTAATCCTTGTGCAGATGTGAAAACAGTCCCAGAAAGTAGGGAGCCTCAGCGGCTGCAGGGTTACAGCTCAGACTACCCCAGCTGAGCTGAACAGTGAAAAAGGAATTTAATAAAAGCAGAAACTTACCGCTCAAGGTCTTTCTGAGGCCTGGAAAAGCAAACAAAACAAATTATTGACCATCAGAAACCAGACAAACACTCACAATGTGGAGCATTTCAGGTTAGTTATTTCTAAGGTCAGTTTGCTTTAATATCCATAGTTTGCCATTTAAGCAAAGATGGTCTCTGAAGACGTCTAACAGATCAGTTGGTATCCAAGTCAATGAAACAGTACCTGAATTCAATAATGGCCACGTTCTTGAAGCCTGGCACCCCCCCAAAGGCATCTTCAACCTGTCATAATAAAGGAGAGAGCCGTTTGAATGCAGGTCTCTACAGTTGACTGTCCTTTCAGCAGAAGGGTGATCAATTATGGGAGAAACTATCTTGGTCGACTCATTCGGGTCACGTCTGTCACTTTAGGGTCTAATGTGCGTTGAGGCTTTTTTTTTGGTGAACTGGTACAAAATAATTTATTATGAATCATTTGTGATTCACAGACTAAAGTAAAGATGCCTTTAATCTATCTGGTCATCCAGGAGGAGAGAATGAGACTGATAACCCTGAACCAGTCTAACCAGATCATCTGTGTCTCAGTAAAGTGACCTGAGACTTGCTTCAGAAATTAACTCTACTTAGTCAATTTCTTCTATTCAATGACTACCAGGATATTTGTCTCAACATATCTGGACAAAAGCAGGAGATGAGAATCTGTGTGAAAGAAGGTAAAGTGAAGCAAAGACCTTCTGAGTAAACTGGGTCAAACCTGATGCACAAATCCTTCATTAAAAATTAGAAACAGGTTTTGGGGTCTCTGTGGCCCGTGGCTGCCCTCCACTTCTTCTGCTGATTCTATTAGCAAAGTTATCCACTTCTATTCCCTCATTAAAGAGCCTGACCCTGACTTCCAAACCATAAACTGGTTTCCCACGTCACTGAAATGGATCAGAGCCCAAAAACCTCCCAGTGGAGCGAGAACACACCGGTGCTCTGCTCTGCTTTCCTGGCAGTGCTGCTTTTTCCATCAGCTCGAGGTGAGTCATCACTCGTATACATCTGATCCCTGCTGCAGCCACTGCGGCTCGTACGGCTGCACTAGTGAAGTCCACAACAAACTGAGCTGTAAAGCATGAAGATGCTTGAAGCGTGAAACTCAGACGAGGCTTTTAAACCGGAGCCAAATCCTTGACTCTGCATTTTAAGGGAAAACCACAAGCGAGTCTGTTCTGAACTCACTGAGTGTTGTGGATGTCAGGGAGAGGAATAAAGATAAGAGGAAGCAGTGATTCAAACGATAACAAGTCAAGGCAAACTGGACCAATCATCTTCATCAGGCGTTGATATCAACAGTTTAAAGTCCTGAAACCAGCAGGAGGAAACAGGGCTGTGGCTACAGACATGAGTCTGTGGATGCTCCACGGATTTATAACTGGATGGTCCCACTTTGGATGGTGCAGCTCTTCGTTCTAGGAATCTGGCCACATTTATTAGTCCTCCAAAACCCTGACCACCCAGGATGCAGACCAGGAAGCAGAGTCCTAGTTTAACAGACCTCTCTGCAGCTTCTCTACTGTTACCCACTCTTTACTCCATCCAGACAGTGTCTAATTAAAGTTAAAAGAACTCCAAATTTGGGAGAAAATTTAAACAATTAAATGTGTTCTTTTAACATAAGATCTCTTTCCTCTAAAAGTCTGCTAAATAATGACTTGATTTGTGATAATCTTTGATTGATTTATGTTTCATTGATTTATGTTGCCTTACAGAAACCTGGCTGCAGCAAGATGATTATGTGAGCATTAATGAGGCAACTCCTTCAAACTATTTAAATTTTATTATAAAGTATGTCTGATTCTGAGTTCACATCCCCAGAAGTTCTGGGCGAGGAGGAGGAGGAGCAACAATCTTCCAGTCCGACTTACTGATTACTCCCAAAACAGTTAATACCTACAACTCTTTTGAACATTTAACCCTTA